CCCCAAAACCCCAAAACCCCAAAACCCCTAGCTTTGGTGAAGATATAGAATTAAGAAACAATCGAAAAAAATTTAATGATTCATGAAATCCTTAAAAATAGTAAATGGCAGTATTTATATATTAAGCATTGATTTCTGAGCCAATTTAGTTATATTTAATAACTTTATTATGTTGTAAAACATCAATAGGAAGACGGTGAAGATCTTCAGCAACCTAGTCAGTGTACGATATATCATAGCTTGCGAAGCTGGTGATGCCTTTTTGGTTATACCGCATTATGTATGCTTACATACCTGCTCTAAGTGGCGAATCTGAGTTACCAAGGTTTGTACGCTTTTTATATACATCTCTACAAAAAGTGTTGACCTTTCTAAGTTTACCCTTTAATTTTGTTGATTTCATTTCTCTTAATATTTAAAGTGTCTATCAAGTATAGCAAAGTTTTAATTTTCCATTAATAGGTATATAAAGGAGTTTAAGGTTTACCAAAACCTCCCTTAAAGTACCTTCTATTTATTATGCCAAATTAAAATTGAAACGCTCGTATATTTATATTTGGTGAAAAATCTCCAAGTTAGCTTTATTTTAACAAATTTGGTTAACCGTAATCGTCAGCTTCATTCACTAGTTTTACATAGACTTGGAATTTCACTTCTGTAATTTAATAAGTTTAGAAATATTTCTGGATTTAATAAGAGTACTACACTCTAGATTTTTTAAAAATAAAAGTCAGCCTTAATTTTCAAATTCTTTAAGGAGATTTTCTGAACATTTGACAATTTTAGACTTTGAAAAGTAAAAGATTCTTCAAGGTTTATCTCATAGAATTTTCCATAAACTTCTTTCATGGAAGATGGTAGGTTTATGAATTTCTTAATTAGTTGGCTTTCGAAGTAAATGGGCAGAGATCGACTAGCTAGCTTTGAATAGTTTGATTTTGGGTGGCTTTATTATCATCATTTGTAATCCTTATTGCGAACGTATACCCATATAAAAATACCATATTTTCAAAGTCTCAAAGTATTATGGGCTTCTTCTAATTCATTTGAATTTAATTAAAGTACAACCTATGTCTTTAAATTCTCTGATAAGTTCTCATTTGAATGAGAAGACCCTTAAATTTTGATAAGAAAATTCCAGTTCAGCCATATTGATTAATAAATATTAATTAAAAGTAAGAATAAGTGACTTAAATTCTGAAATACTTTCCTGATTTGAATAAATATGAGCAGTCTTAAAGAGAAGTAGGCTGTAATTTAAATAGCAGAAATACTATATAATTGCGATACTGCTGGCCTTAATCTTGCCTTGGAGTTATACTAAGACTTCGACTATTAAACTTGGAATCGAGAAAGCCAACCAAACAATGGAGAGTGTTGAAAAAGTAATTAAATAGGAATTATTAATGTAATCTGCCTAGAGAGCATCAATATCTCTCATCGTGACCAAATATCAGTCTCCATAAACTTGATTATGATCTTCTGAAGGAAATTTGGTGTAGCGTGAAGCATTTTCAGATTTTTTCCTGAGCTGAGCAGAGTATCTCAAGAGGTTGCTGATCTCTGATTTCAGTGAGGTTCCAGGTTGTACGTAATCATATTCAGAGTGAGGTGTGTTACCTCTGAGACTCTTGTGATGCTCTTCTACTTGATCACAAGACTTTGACTTCTTCTGCCTAAAGATAGATCTTCCTTGTGAACAAATTTTATCCTTGGAAATATTATTCAGACTCTTCTGAGACTCTAAGTCCAACTCCACTCCGCTTGAGGGCTTCTTATTACTGAGAGATTTTCTTCCCATGTTGTGCAAGATCTTTTCTGATCCTCTTACTTCACAAGACACGACATCTTCACTCAGAAGTTCATCTGATAAGTTCTCGTCTCCATAAAAGTTGTTGATGGAATTCATATTTGTTATTAATTTGTAATTTAGTAACTCTATTCTCAATGTTTTAAGTACTATACGGGGTTTTGGGGTTTTGGGGTTTTGGGGTTTTGGGG